AAAAAAAAAAAAATATAGTTGACAAAGCTAAAATGACATTTAAAAAGAAACGGAAGGAGTACTGTTTAGTATCACTTATGACTGATAATTGTTCACGTGCAGTACTCCTCAAAGTCTTCTTCTAATTCTAGTTTATTTGATTGATTTTTTATTTTTTTACTTATTTTTTAACTTAAAATTCTAACTCAATTTATATCCAATTCAACTCTCCTCCACATCTAAATTAAATAATATACTCAATCATCTCATACATTATGTCAATTTTAATTTATTATTTATCATAATTTTAACTTTTAACTATTTGTCATTTTTATAATTTTTTTCTATTTTTACATCACATCAACATTAGTCATTGAATTAAATATTATTTAAATAGAAACTCATATTTTCATTTAAACTTCCACTCGATCAATTTTTTTTCAGACTAACTCACTTTTTCAATAAATACAATAAAATACATAAATGCTTTATATCCAATCCCCTTATTTGTCCGAGACAGCGTAATTATGAACAAAGCTATATATATATATATTTTTTTTGGTACAAAGGAAGAGGCTAAAGCCTCATAAGTTTAAATCACCTACGTTACGCGAGTAGACACGCCGATCACATCGTGGTGCAGCCATTGTCGAACCCCAACTAGAGGCGCGCTAAGGTAATGATATCCAACCAAACCTTCCGCAGCGAAGGAAGCCAAATAGTCGGCTGCAAAATTCGCCTCGCGGAACACGCGTTAGAAAGGGAATGGGTCGTAAGGGCCTGCTACCAATTGGGTTCCACGCGGGACGAGAGAGGGCTGGGGCGTGGGCTTCAATTGCTGACAGAATGCGGGCCGCGCGCGGGTTGGTAACGGCCAAGCGGCACGCGTGCCTTGATCAAAGCTGAGCTACGCGTTATATTATTTCAAACACAATCCCGAAATCAGGTGAGATTATCTTTCAAAAGTATCCCCTATATATTAATACAGAATGCGCTGAGCCTACGTGGCTGTTTCTGGTGCTTCGGAATCCTATGTGGCAAAATTACATGCTTCGTTATTAGGTTTGGATAAATTTTAATTTAATTCCAAACCAAAAATAATTAGGTTCGGATTACCATAAATATGTTGATTATTTATGGTCATGTTAATGTATTAATTGTATTTTAATATTATTCCTTATTATAACTATTGAATTGTATATATAATTTAAAAGTTAATAACTTTTGTATTTTTTATCAGTTTTACATATGTAATATATCAAATTAATCTTCTTTTGATGAGCTTCGATTTAACATCCATATTGTATGTATAAAAAAAATAATTTATATTTATCTTTATAACAATAATAAAATTATTTTTAATATTAATTAGAAAAATAAAATTATTTATCAACTAATATATTTATATTTCAAGTAGTTATATGATATAAGTTATAACATCTAATATAATATAACACATGTAAGTCATAAGTAACATATCTCATTCTAAAATATATAGTAATATTTTTTTTTTAACTAAATTTAATTTAGTTTTCTCATTAATTTTAAAATTTAAGAATAATTTTTTAACAAACACACGTGTAATACACGGGTGTTGTATTAGTACTAATTTAAAACTTAATATTATGTAAATATAATTACACAATTAATTAAAAGTATATAATCGACATCAATATATTGCATATAATTACATGCAAACACAATTCAATTACGTGAATAGACAATACACAATCCCCCTTATATATAATTTCAGAATGCGCTGAGCCTACGTGGCTGCTTCTGGTGCTTCGTAATCCTACTTGGCGAAGAATCATGCTTCGTAATTAGGTTTGGACAAATAA